GGAGAATTCATTTATTTATTTTTAATTTAGGCTATTTCGGCATTATATTTACGAATCCTTGGTCAATTCTCCACAACTCCCTGTTTATGGAATCCGCCACAGTGACTTATAATGACTTCACAGTAAAAAAAAAAAAATTAAAAAGAAGAAAATCTCCTTTTTTTCCCATTCCTCTTTTTCCACCTAAAATTTCCAATTCGATATTTACCTTATTTTAGATTATTTTTTAATAAAATATAGGTAGATTTTTTTAAATTATTTAATTTATTTTTTTTAGCCAAATAAAAATTAAAATTAAATACGAAAAATATATATTCACTAAAAAAACCCAAGAAAAATCAAACAAACCCCCCAGAAATGTATCCCTGGCAGAGAAATGGTTAATAGTAGAGAGGCGTCGATCTATCCATGACAAACCCAGAACAGTCTTTATTTGAGAGCTAAAATCAGGCATAATGGAGGAATCTTTGGACGCTTCCAGCTCCAAATGCCATTACAAGGTGCCTTGTGATCTCCACTTCAAAAACCTACATAATAATATTTGGGTGAGACTTTTTGGGGGGTTAGTGTAAAGGTCGACACTGGCTCTCCAGCCTGTGTGTTAATAACTCCTGTGTGTATATAGATTCAGAGCATTCAAATTGACACCATATGTTATCTTATTAGATGTCTAGTTGTACAATACAAGGAGGCTAATCATGGCCACTGGGCAGAGATCTACCGCTCTCCCAGGGGAAATTATATAATGATTAAGGCTTAACCTTTTAAGTGAAATTTTAGTTTTGCTTTTGTCAATGTCATTTTTAAGTTGATAAATAGTCTTCACCAATGACATTCCAAGAGATAGGGAGACTGACAGCTCCCTACAGCAGCCACATTGTAGCTAGAGACTCCGAATATTTATTGAAATGTGGACAAGCCTTTAAAGATGTTTAATGAGAGAAGATTTACCCTCCAATGTAATCTGAAAAAAGGCAGCAAGGGAAATAACCCTATTCAATAAACACACCGATACAGATAGAAAACAGCACGCATTTATTGGGTAAAATAAACATAGATAGAATTAGAGTTCTGTAAAAAATAAATCACAAGTTCCAAGTTTTGGGGAAAAAAGAAAAAAAGAGAGAGAGAGGGGGGGGGGTCACCTTGAAACTAGGGGTGTCAGGCTAACATGATATATTATCATAGCAAATCTGCTAAAACCAAAAACAACACATAAAAAAAAAAAAAAATAATAATATAAAGAATGTATAAACCATAATGTGAATTGTAAAAATAAAGTTAACGAGTGTCACTTTGTATCCATTTTCTGATGACCTCTCCCACCCCAGCTTTGTGCCCATCCTGCCCCCTATAGCTCCATCATTTCTTTTTTCTTATTTTAGTTTTTTTTTCCTTGAAGTAAAATTGCAGCACCCTTAGATTGTATCTGAGTGATACCCAAATGCAGACAGAGAGGGTCGGGTTTTTTTTTTTTTTTAGCATTGGTACCATTTGTCCTGACGATGCAATTTCCAGAAGCAGAGGACTGTCACGAAGTGACAAGCCTGCCACTAGCACTTCCACTGATCTTTTCAATTAGCCTTCCATGCATGATCTGGGGCGACTTCCGCCTATTTCCAGAAATTAAACTCAAACTTGACGTGCATCTAGTTTTATTTTTAAAGACAAATGTCAGGGAGGCTCATCATATTTTCCTCCTCTTCTATATTTGGAGCTTATTTATTGCTAAGAAGCCAGAGCTCCTGCAAGTGGATGTATTAGCAGTCTGAGAACACAGTCAGCTCTTCTCCAGGGGAACACATTCTGGAACTGAACCTGCAGGTTGGGGATTTTAATCAACTAACTGCTAATAACTCATTAAGGCATTCACCAAAAAAGGGATGGCATCATAAGGCAATGTCTGCAGAAGAATTTAATGGTATTTATAAAATGGGTTAAAGTAGATTAGCCTTAGATTACTAAAAGATCCTAAAATGCAGATCTGGTATTATTTATTTCTGTTAGTGACATATAGTGGGGTTTGGCCAGAGATACAATGTATCCTATAACCCACTTAGTCTATATCTCCATCTCTTCAGTCTTCGTCTGATGGGGTAACTTGAAACAGGAAAATTGTGGCGTTTCCCTTCAACGGAAAATATATATTTGCTTACTTGATTATATTTCTGTTTGCGATAAAAAAAAAAAAATATATGTTGAAGAATTTATTTTTTAATGACTTAAATATTGGATTGTATTCATTGACGGGATTATAGAGGAGGTGTTTTTTTTTCCGTTCTGAATTAGGAATAAATGAAGAAAATTAGTCAGATTTTTTTTTAATGATGGTCTTTTTTTATGGTTTGGAGTTAATCTCCTTTGGTTAGATTTTTTGTGATTGTTTTGTAAATATGTTAGCTCCTTAGTCTGGTTTTATAATGTGGGCAATTCGTTAGCTACTGTGTCTGTTGTGCTGCCTTTAGTTTGTATTTTATATTTTATTTCTGTTTTCGTTTATTGTGATTAATATTATTTTTGTTATTGTTTTGTATTAACATTGTTATTTTTTGGGGGGGATGTGAAAGTGGTGGCAATGGGTTGGATGGGTGATTGGCTGTATGAAGTTTCAGTAGCATCCCAAGCATGTAAATCCTTTCTGTCCCCAGGTCACAGTGGAGTTAACCAGCTTGGTGGAGTGTTTGTGAACGGTAGACCTTTGCCAGATTCTACCAGACAAAAAATTGTTGAGCTGGCTCACAGTGGAGCAAGACCTTGTGATATCTCCAGAATACTCCAGGTGAACAGGCTTAGTGCCTTCAAACTCCCCTTACTAGCTTTGGCTACAATGTTGCAACCCATCTGTCACTTACACTGTAAACATTCTACCAAAATAAATATTGTTCCATCTGTTTGAAAAACAATATACATCTGCTTAAACAATGTATATGTAGCGATTCAAATAGACGCTTTTATATGGGCACTGTAATAGCTGTTTTATATCTTTGATTTTGTTGTAATAGCATAGTAATTGGCATGAGTAAGTGTTTCCCTGTGCCTGAAAGCATATCCCTGTATGGTGTGGCTCTTAAATAATCGCCCTCATTATGAAATTCATTAAATTTAGAATAGTATAATATATATATTTTTTTCTGTATTATGTTAATTATTAGCTAAGCCGTTGGCATTTTTTAAGTCATAATAATATATATATAATTTAACTGTTTTTTTTAATTATATATATTTATAGATTTATATATTTCTTAGTTTGTAGGGCCACAAAAATGTAATTTTAAGAAAAAGTTCTCATACCATTTAAGGTATATTTTTGTATTATAGAGCCATGCAGATGCAAAAGGCCAAGTACTGGATAGTCAAAACGTAAGCTGTCATTGTTTAATGCATATTATAACATTGTATCACTGTCTTGAAATTATTAATAATGTGATTTGTTGTCATTCTCTCTATTCAGGTGTCCAACGGGTGTGTGAGTAAGATTTTGGGGAGATATTACGAGACTGGATCCATCAGACCCAGGGCAATCGGGGGCAGTAAGCCTAGAGTGGCAACGCCAGAGGTGGTTAGCAAGATTGCTCAGTATAAGAGGGAGTGCCCATCCATTTTTGCTTGGGAAATTCGAGACAGGTTGCTGTCTGAGGGAGTCTGTACCAACGACAACATACCTAGTGTAAGTGAAACCTCTCATGGGGGGGTCATGGGGAGAGTCTCCGGGAATTGGGATACCTCTCCTTGGGAGGGGGGATCATGGAGAGATACTCCATTCAGGAATTGGGGTACCTCTCCGGGGATAATGGGGAGAGTCTCCAGGAACTGGGTTACCTCTCCTTGGTGGGGGTGGGGGGGTAGGGGAATTAATGGGGAGATACTCCATTCAGGAATTGGGGTACCTCTCCTGGGGGGATCATGGGGAGAGTCTCTAGGAATTGGGGTACCTCTCCTGGGGGGTGGGGGGTCATGGGGAGAGTCTCCAGGAATGGGGAAGTTGGGGGTTGAGGGGTTAGGTATTTTTTCTTGTATTGTATAACTGAACAGAAAGGGTTAACCTGTATTAGCAGAGAATCCTTGTGATTCGGAACCTGATACTTAGTTGCTGGGGAAGTTAATGTGCATTAATTCTTCTTTAGAATGCTCTGCAATGCCTTGGGCTTGGTTCTGGCACTCAAAAGGTTAAAATATTAACAATAATAATAATAATAATAATAATGACAACAGCATATTTAAGATATTAATTCATATTTTAGGTGGTAGATAAATTGTTTATGAATGAATGGGTTAAAATGCAAATAAATGAAGAATATAGAATATTATTAGTGTCATGATTTATTATTATTATTTTCTTATTAATATTCATTATTATTATTATTTTCTTATTATTAATATTTAATATTATTATGATGCCATTTTCGAGGCTGGGTTTGCTGAAAGTAAGCAGGAGAGTTGGTAGCTGGGCCCCTAGGGGCCGCCTTGCGGATGCTGTATGTCGCGATATGACTGGAGCTATCGCGATTTGTCTTACAGGTATCATCCATAAACAGAGTCCTCCGCAACCTGGCGAGCGAAAAGCAACAGATGGGCGCAGATGGCATGTATGACAAGCTGAGGATGCTGAATGGGCAGACTGGCACCTGGGGTACCCGGCCTGGGTGGTACCCGGGCACATCAGTGCCAGGTCAGCCTACACAGGGTAAATACATGGGCTATCTGTATACTGTACTGGTATGGGGGAAGGAGAGGGCCAGCATTGAAACAGATACATAGACAGACAGAGAGAGACAGACAGACAGACAAAGAGACAGATAGATAGATAGATAGATAGATAGATAGATAGATAGATAGATAGATAGATAATGGATAGATAGATAGATAGATAGATAGATAATGGATAGATAGATAGATAGATAGATAATGGATGGATAGATAGATAGATAGAGAGAGAGAGAGATAGACAGATAGATAGATAGATAGATAGATAGACAGATAGATAGAATTACCCACTGCTTTTCATTGTGTTGTTTATAGTAAATAATAAATATAAATCTTAGATGATTGTGTTAAATAGAATGATGTAATGCAGTAAGTTACAATGTGAGTTTATTTGGTGATATCAATGTATCTTTAGTTCGGCTGCAGCCGGTAAATGTAAAGGAAGTCTGTCTGTCTGTCTGTCTGGAACGATTTATCGATAATTTATATCGTTATAGTTACACATTGGACAAATACACGATATCGATTTAGTGATTAAACAACAGATCAGGTATGCACCCACACAATATAATAATAATAATAATATAATAATAATAATAATATAATAAAAAAACAAGTAAATGTAGCCAGTTATTCTCACCAACACAATGCACACCGCTTTCAATTAACATTTTAAAATCCTCAATAGAACCTTAGTAAATATTACAGTCTGCTCGCACTGTTTCAGGCGATGTTTGGTCTTACTGGCCGATACTGTAACAGGGTTTGTCCGATGGGGAGAGTGACAGTATATCAGGAGTAATATAGCATTAATGGGGCACTATATGCTGAGTACTGGCAGTTCTACAAGTGGTGGTGGGGTACTATGGGTAGCTGGGGGCAGTATTTGTATTGCTGTGGTGGGGGTGGGGTACTATGGGTAGCTGGGGGCAGTATTTGTATTGCTGTGGTGGGGTACCTGGTGGTAGCTGGGGCAGTATTTGGTATTGCTGTGGGGTGGGGTACTATGGGTAGCTGGGGCAGTATTGCTGTGGTGGGGGTGGGGTGGGTATTTGTTGTGGGGTACTATGGTTAGCTTATTTGTATTGCTGTGGTGGGGGTGGGTACTATGGTAGCTGGGGGCAATATTTGTATTGCTGTGGTGGGGTGGGGTACTATGGTTAGCTGGGGGCAGTATTTGTATTGCTGTGGTGGGGGTGGGGTACTATGGGTAGCTGGGGGCAGTATTTGTATTGCTGTGGTGGTGGTGGCTTACTATGGGTAGCTGGGGGCAGTATTTGTATTGCTGTGGTGATGGTTGTGGGTTCTAGGGGTAATTGTGTGCAGTATTTGTATTGCTGTGGTGGTCGGGTGGAGGGTGTGTGCAGATTTTATTTGGATGTATTGTGGGGCACTATCTCTGCTGAAGGGTTGGTGGGGCAGTATGCCTATTGCTGGGGCAGTAAAGCAGTGTTTCTGCCTCTGGGGTGTCTGTTGTTGGAGCAGTATGCCTATTGCTAAGGGTAGTGGGCACTGGGCAGTATGTCTGTTGTTAGTATCTGTTGGCGTGGGAGGCACTCTATTTCTGAAGCAGTGGGGGGGGGGGCAGAAGCTGAATATTAGTATTTGTGGGGGGGGCAGTTGTTTTTTCTAATGGTGATGTCATTAATAGACTGCAGTGTTGATTTTTGGGTGATAGCTCTATCACGATCTATATGGAGATAGGAAGGGATATTTTCTGTACAAGGGGTGGATAGAATCGATGCATAGAGTGTAGCCATATTCCAATGGGGCAGTATCTCTCCTGCAGTTGTGGTGGAGATTAGTTCTAATATATTGTGGCAGAACACCAAAGGCTTTATTTGTGCTGCATTGATAGGAGGGTAACATTTCTGAGACAGGATTTGCTGCGATGTTGTGGTGGTGATGGTGGGGTGCTATTTTTGTTACAGTGTTTTGAAGTAATATTTCATAGTGGGCAGCTTTGATACCGAACTCCATGGTCTGTGGGGCAGTGTAGTATTTGACGCTCAGTGGTTATGGTAAGTAATTTAGGATTTGTGGGACAGCGTAGTATTAGCTATAGCTGTAATATATAATGCCGCAAAGCTTTAGGTTTAATATATAATGCCCCATGGGTGTAGGTGTAATAGATTAGTACCTATAGCTGGAGGGCAGTATCTCAGGACCAGTAGATGTGGGGCACCTTACCCTGTGGGGCTATATATTACACTTTCACATGTGGGGCAATATATTACACCTTCACCTGTGGGGCAATATATATCTCACCTTCCCCTGTAGGGTAATATATCACACCTTCCTCTGTAGGGTAATATATTACACCTTCCCCTATAGGGTAATATATCACACCTCCTCCTGTAGGGTAATATTTGAGAGGTAATACTGAAGTCTCACTCTTAGCAGATACACACTCACTGACAGCAGTTGGCTATCGCAGAGTGAGAGCTGTATTTACTAATCTCTGCCAATATTTGGCATTAACTATATATTTGTTATGATTGTAACAATGGAACAGTTTGGGGCAGGAGAGGGGGCTATTATCCCCCCTCCCCCCCCCCGTCACCTCCTCCCAGACTAGGTGCAATAATCTGAACCTGTCTCTGGCCAGCTTTACCAGGGTTCCCGAATAGGAAGCCCAATATCTACCACAATGGATGTTTCTGTCACACACAAGAATTTGTTATGGGAACAATTCTGTCGCTATGTAGCTGCTCATTAGAGATCGTTTTGTTTCTCATTAAGGAGACATGAATAAGCGTCTAGTTGGATGGGACATCTGCAGAAACGTTTCACAGGAGACCTCTGGACACGATACGGCCCTGCTTGCCAATTAGAGATGTCAGGGTTTTAAGATTAGGAACAATATAGGAAGCCTGGAAGATGGGAAGGTGATCCTTATACAAAGTGTCAGCCCATCTCTGGATACCGGGGGCCCCAGGCAGGGCAGGGCAGGGCTGCCTATTCAGCTGTGAGGGGATATAATATTGGGACAGTGCGATATTCCAGAGATAAATGGGATCAGCAGGATGGCTGTACAACGTGTTACACACTCACAGGGTATGGGGGGGTTACATTGTAACAGTGTGTAGGTACTAACAGGTCATTCAAACCGCAACAATACTACAAGGTCGCATTGTATATCAATAGGAGAGAGAGAGGGAGAGAGAGAAAGAGAGAGAGGGAAAGGGAGAGAGAGAGAGAAAGAGAGAGAGGGAGGGAAAGGGAGAGGGAGAGGGAGAGAGAGAGAGAAAGAGAGAGGGGGGAAGGGAGATAGAGGGAGAGAGAGGGAAAGGGAGAGAGAGGGAGGAAGGGAGAGAGAGAGAAAGAGAGGGGAGTGAGTGGGGAGAGAGAGGGGGATAGAGAGAGAGACAGAGAGGTAGAGAGAGACTGAGCGAGAGAGGGATAGGGAGAAAAAAAGAGAGGGAGAGAGTGAGGGGGAGAGGAAGAGAGAGAGAGGGGGAGAGAGTGAGAGGTAGAGTGAGATGGGGAGAGGGAGGGAGAGAGAGAGAGAGAGGGGATAGAAGGAGAGAGGGAAAGAGGGAGAGAGGAAGAGAGAGAGAGAGAGAAGGAGGGAGAGACAGAGAGTGAGGGAGAGAGAGAGAGAGTGAAGGAGATAAAGAGGGAGAGAGATGCATTCTCTCACATTCTATTTAGAATTTCCATTGCATGTTCTGTGAATCTCAATCAGTCTTTTAGAATGTAATATTTAGAAGGCAACTGTTTCCGGTTTACCATGCTGGGCTCTATTTACTAAATAGCGAGTTTATAACAGGAAAAACCAAAGAGATAAACGTTGGGGGGAAATCTGCAAATCGACCGAACTGTTGCTACTCTGCAAACTGACTGTATCAGACACCATACTGAATATAATGGGCTCTGGACTCGCTGATCACTGGTCCCCAGGAGTAATATAGGCCAGACCAGCAATTAAAGTGTTAAGTGTGTTACATCCTGTCATAGCAACATTGTGCCCTCATTCACTTTGTCTATAAATGGAGATATTCAGTTATATAAATTTATATGAGACTCTATGTTTCAGGAAAGCAGGTTATCTCTGTAGATAAATAGGTTAAGTTTCAAATCAAACCCTTGGATACCGTTAACCCCTGGGGTGCTGGAGTCTCCAACCATTGCTCCACTGGCACAGAAAGGATTAAAACATTTTTTTTTTTTTTGAATCTCATGGGCGAATTAATTAAGTGAGCACTTCCACATTAAACCCTCACTGACCGAAGGATGGGGACATCATCGAATTTTATTGGGGGTTAATTCGCTAAATATTTATTGTGAATTCTAAGTAAATTCGGTGATTTATAACATTTAAAGTTATTGCAGCCGAACGGAAAGCATGGCTTATTTGTAGAATTTCTCCTGTTTGTTTTTTTCGGCCTTAATTCAAATTAATTTAGAATCCACCTTTAATTCCCGACAATCCGCACTTTACTGAATAACTGCTAGATGTGAAAAGTTTAAAAAAAATTGTTCAAATTGTCCAGAGGGAAAAATAATCTTTTTTCCTAATTCCATTATATTCGGTTTGTTGGCGGCTGAGCCGATTCTGTAACAAACTACCAGATTTATTTAATATATTGAAATCAAACCAGTGTTTTTATGTCCAGTGTATTTTTTTATTTTTTTTTTTTTAATCAAGCCGATTTCGGTAGAATTAATAATATAGTTTTTGTGAATATATTTAAAATAATTATTTATTTATTCATTTTACAATAATATTTTATTCATTTATATTTAAAGGTGAATTGAAAACTGCCCTTTTGATTTGACAATAAAATTCGTAGTTCGGTTCATTCTTAAAGTTTTCTAATTTCTGAAATATTATTTCTGCTCAAACGATAAAATATATATAGCGGATATTTGTTGTATTCTACAATTAAACGTACTTCATTATCACTATCTACTATGAAATTAAAATGGGAATTAAATGTAACTTAAATATAAAAATATATATTATAATTAAATTTAAACAGTAAATGTTAATTAGGAATATATTATTATTTCTACATACAAATACACAATGCGATGTCACACTAATATAATCCAAAAATCTAATTCCTATCAGTAACACACACACCTGTTAGTAAATATTTACATTATTTGTTTATAAAAATGGGATAATTTACTGATTTATTTTAAATCTCAGAATAAACAGTAGTATCTTATAGCCCCAGGGCTGCTAATTCAAATCAAGACAAGCATTAATGTTATAAAACTTAAATTACATAGAAATCGGCCATAGATACAATGCTGGGATTAATTTTACATTTTAATTAAATCTATTTAAGGATTAATTTGCTAAATATGGAATGTATCCCGGTGGATCTCCCCTGTACTATTCCTCTCTCCCAATAATGTGCTTTTTGTTGCCCAGAATGGTTGCCAGAGCTGTAGAGCCATTACTCAGGAAAGCATAAGCCAAGGGCTAGGTCTCAGAGGGGGCAAATATGGTCCCAATATTAGCAACACCATTGCAACAATGGCTGCAATAATTGACACACAAGACTTGACAGGACAAACAGAGACATCTCGGTCTGGGGGGAAATTCTCCAGCGATTTAGTGGTTTTAGAGATCACTGAGATACTTTTTCTCATCTTTTTTTTCTTTCTTTCTCTCTTATAAGACTAAAGCCCTCTATAGGATTTAAAAAAATTCTCTTTTGACCAGATGCTTCTCATGTTTTGATCCCATCTCCCAGCTGAAATGTGCAGGATTCGTTCCTTGCTTCTGCTTGTTTTCTGCTTCACTGATTGAGACACTAAGAAACCCAGGAATGATTTTATTTCTCAGAGTCAGACCCCCATCCCCAAATCCCACAGTTCGCGTCAGATGGTCTGGCTATAGGATAATAAGAGTACATTCACTCTCCCTTTTAGGGATTAGGACTGGAGGGAGGGACAGGGGATTGAGAAAGTCTCTCCGAGTTTATATACAGACCTTAAAAAAGATCTTCACTGAGTGTCGTTTGTTGATTTTTTGTAATTCAATATGAGAACTCCACACACTGGCATTATCTCATGTCACAAAACATCCTTAAGGGGTTAAAGGGGACTATAGGCCTGTTTTATTGATGTGGCTAGATTAACCCCTCTAGTACTGGGAAGGTGTACACAAAATACCCAGTTCTGGCAGCAAGGGGTTAATGCAATTTGCATGAGAGCAATGGAATGTATTTAACTAGAGGGGCTAGCTATTAACCATTGCAAGCATGTTTAACTCCATATGGCACTTCTTAACACTTTGACTGCCAAACCTTGCAACCATGGTATATTAGCATTAGTATTTGCAACTGTATTCTATAATTCCTGTAAGGGTGTGCATGACAGAGGTGGAGGTAGGTGGCTGTTCTAGGCCATATTTATTCAGTAGTATCCCTGTACAATATGGGAGTGAACAGGTAGAGTTCATCTGTTGGGCAAAGTCTATTTAAATGTATTAAATTCTTCACAGAGAGTCCTGATATGTCGTTGGTTCTGAATGTGTTAAGGGAACCCACTATGGGTTTCTATAAAACCTTTGTATCCATCTATCAGCAAGGGCCAATCTGGTATGGAGGGCAATGACCATACAGTGGGGGTTTATTTACTAAACAGCAGTTTAAGGTGAGCAGAGACCCAGTCTGTACATTTTGGGGTCAGTAATTCAGAGTGACTGGACTGGATTTAAAAAAAATAAAAAAATGTTTTTGTACATTTCTATTTAGTGTCTGACTAATAAGTAGATCACAACCTTACCATGAATTGTATTCTTTTTTTTCTTGTTAAACAGTGAGATTTCAAGCTTTCATTAAATTGAATCATTTACATGCTGCCAGAAAAATAGCTAGAGTCCCTTATATTTTCTATGTTCTGTTTTATATAAATTAATTTATCTCCATATAAATGCACAGATATCTTCACACCTGCACCTCTGGAATCATGTTAGAGATATCTGATGTAATGTGACTATTTATTAATAAACATAATATTAATAATGACCATAATAATAATAATGATAATAATAATGATAAACATAATAATAATAATGATGATGATGATGATGATGATGAGGATGATGATAATAATAATCTTAATAAAAGCAGGGTTCCCACACAACCACCCAAATGCCTATAACTACTATTCCAGTATTCATTATTACAATTATAATTTTACATATATGGCCTAAAAGCTTACATAGGCCTACGAGATGATATTCTGGGGTGCAATCACTAAAAGGTTTTGGTGACTTGTGAACAAACTAGAATAATTTAGGATTTAATTTCAGAACTGCAAAAAAAAAACAACCAAAAAATCAAATTGTCAGAGTTTTTTTCCAACTCATTCTTTTTTGTCCTACATTTGTCTGTTGACAATTCCCCACAATTCGCTGTTTAGTAAATAGATCCCCTCTCCATGTCATCCCCTCGTAATGTGAAAGTTAATGTCCACCTGTTTCTATATTGTGTTGAGAAAAAAACTCTTTAAAGTATCACAGCCCACTTAATCAATTAAACCCACTCTAGACTTTGCCACCAAAACACTCCAAATGCCACACATCAGATTGGAAGAGTAAATAGGAGAAGTTTTAGGCTAATATGTGAGATGAAGCTTAGCTAATCTTAAGTGAGCACTTTCTTCCTAATGCTGCTGTGTAAATAGCTTGAGAGTGTATGGAGTTGCCCCATTGACAAATTTAGGTGTTATTTTCCCTCTCTGGTCCTAAAGAAAGTTAAAAAAAAAATCCCATATAGCTATGAGTAGGCCAACTCTGAGGACAGTGATTAATGATAGACAGAGCATAAAGGTTAACATACTTCATTGCAAAGTCTGTTGACTGGACCCCTTGTGACACAATGTAGGTCTCTACAAACTTCAAGAGAATCCTTTTGTCTAGGCCTCTCTGATTGTGTCTTCAAAATTCTGCCCACGAAAGTTTGCCAACCCTCCTGTTCCAAGTGTTTAATAGTTTCTCTTACGCTGATGGTATTGTGTCTTTTTGAAAGGCAGCCCCTTTACCATTCAAGTGTTGGTGGCAATCTCAATAGTGCTACAGACCTCCATATGCTAGCCACTGTAGTTGAATCCAACTGTTTGAAATGTTTTAAAACCCCAAACATTCCCTTCCCATTTAAACTGTTTGAAAAGATTCCCAATTCCTTTCACTCACAATTCTCTTAACCCTTAGAAGGCACCACTATTGTGCAATGATCCCACTCTGAAGTCAATTCCCACCATATTTAAACAGAGAAAATATTACTTCTGCCAAGCAAAGAGAATTTCAATCGTCAATTGTATTTTTTTTCCCCATTTATTTTAGTATTTAGCGCTTTGTTTTCAAAACAGCCCTAAAATAATTGGTTCACACTATCCATAATATACTTTATAAAGTCAAATTTCTCGTTGCTTTACAATAGCAGTAATCATTAGTACCGTTGCATTTAGTCGTTTCTTTTCTATTAATATTTATTAGTATTTTAATTGTTTTTTGTTGGGTGAGGTGATATTTTACCCACCTTTATGAATGATCAAAATAAGTTAAAAAAATAAAATAAATCTATATTTTACATTCTAATATATAGGATAGTAACAGTGACTTATTTTAAATTAAAAAAAAATATTCAGTGCATTAATTAAATATATTTTAAATTTGATATGTATATGGTTAGTTAGTTACTGAAGTCACTACAATCTGTACTCAAATTATATGGTATTTTTTTTCAAGAAATCATACTTTTCAGCAACATATTACAAAGAATGGACAGTCCCTTTATCTAAATATAAAATCCCATTTTGTGCAATTATAGGCTGCTCTTCGTGATGATATAATTACAACTGTGCTCTGTAATAGGTGTCAAGAAAATGCAGGATCATACAATAGTTGAATAAAATTGTAGAACAATAGGAATACTTCTAAATTCAGAACCTCTAAAATGAAATTGACTGTGCGGAATTCAAATAAAAAAAACTAGATAAATATTTCTTTTAAACATTGCAAGCTTGGTTTGAGACTTCATTAGCATTTCCAACATTTAATTGATTACAATTAATGATTATAGCTGAGTAAGTTAAAATAAAAACCTGTAGTATATTTTTGTTTTTGTTTTTAAATATTTTTTGTTTAACATTTTATTAATTGCTACATACAAGTGGTCTAACTGGAAACTTGTAACATTTTTTTTTTAAACACAAATGTTCACATTGTGAAGGTACGAGCAAGTTGCTATGGAAAATAACTAGTTAGCTAGCTTAGTCTACCATTGCCATGAGAGCAAATGTACTATTTTGTGAGTTTTTCTAGAATACGAAGGGTATTTTCACTACAAAGAACATTGGGGCGACCTGAGAACCCACAGTGACATAGGTGGAAAAGTAGATTTATTATGAAGTGAATGAACCCCTAAATCAGGGCTGTGCAACCTGCATCCCCCAAGATGTTGCTGAACTACAACTCCCATGATTCCCTGGCTATCTGTTTCATTGAAAGAATCATGGGAGTTGTAGTTCAGCAACATCTGGGGGGCCGCAGGTTGGACAGTCCTGCCCTAAATTATTAATGATAACCTTTTGAGGTATGTGAAAAACCTATTGAAATGTTAACGTATTTTCTATGTAAAATATTTTATTATTATTACTATGTTTTGTTTTGAACATAATGGTGACACTTGCCCAATATAATGTGAATTGGTTTACTTCACTAAATTGCACGTGTTTTTGCATTTCAGATGGATGTCCGCAGCCAGAAGGAGGGGCGGAAAATACAAATTCCATCAGCTCCAATGGGGAAGATTCGGATGAGGCTCAGATGAGACTTCAGTTGAAAAGAAAGCTTCAAAGAAATAGAACTTCGTTTACCCAGGAACAAATAGAGGCTTTAGAAAAAGGTGCGTATTCATCGATGTTAATATAGTGTAAACAAGAAATAAACTAACTAAAGAACGCATTGTGATAAAACGAGATCAAAACTGCAACGTTTAGGCCAAAATACCAGAGTTGAAATATAATAACTCCAACCTAGATAATTTAAAGATTTTAGTCCCCTTGGCTAAATTATCCTAAATTTTGCAAGTCTTAACATATAGTTATTTATTGAATAGAGCCCATAATCTCCCTACTTAGCATACATATGTATTGTATTATTGCAATTAGTACACGTAGAAAGTGATCGGGTCTTAAAATTTAGAAAACGATGAATTTCCCTGCTGCTGTCTTTGAAAAAAATAAATAGAAATAAAACAATTGGCAGCATTATTCTGAGCTTTTCTAGCAGTTAGTTAAAATAATATTAGAGGAAGAGGTCATCTTTCTTTGCTACTAGAATTTTTTAAGAAGTGGATTTTGAAATATTTGTAATGTACAGTAAATGAAATTTATCATCTTAGACACTACACAGAATACCAGCAATGCTAATGGATTTGTAAAAAATGTTTTATAGTGTAAAAGACAAAACTTACAAAATTACAAAGCTTTAAGTCAGTGCTTGCTTGAATACATATGCCAATGTGTATTCAAGCAAGCAATACAGGGGTATTATAGCCACCAAAACAACTTTATCTTAATGAAGCAGTTTTTGTGTATATAGATTATGCCCCTGCAGTCTCACTACTCAATTCTTTGCCATTTAGAAGTTAAATCATTCTTGTATCTGTCCATGCATCTCTAGCCACAACATTCCTGAACGTGACTCAAAGTCTACATGGAAAAAATGGGTTATTTTTAATTTAATCTTAACTGACTTTACTCTTAGCACTATATTAAATTTTAATCACACACAGGAGGCTCTTGCATGCTCTAGAAGGTATTTAACAGAGCAGGAGATAAGAAATTCCAAGTTATATGGATTGTGCAAAAAAAAAGAAGTTTAAACATTAGATCTCGCTTTACAGGAAGTGTTTTGAAAGGCTGTGTAAGTCACATGCAAGGGGGTGTGGCTAGGGCTGCATAAACAAAGTGATTTAACTCTAAGATGGCAGATAATTTAGACAGTGAGATTGCTGGGGCATGTTCTATACACCATATCAGCTTCATTAAGCTATTTTGTTTGGTGACTATAGTGTCCCTAAATGCCATTTAGAGTTAAACGTTTTACCCATTAAGGACAAACGTTTGTTCTATATTGTAGATCTGTGCCATTCAGCAGGAATGTTGTAAGGTTCTACAGAGCTACAGATTCTAAATAAGTTGGGTTCATGGATCAGATTGTCACGCCAGCTTGTTAAGTGATTGGCTGTAGGAAGTAGATAATTGTAAAATTGTATCCTGCAGGTATAGGACTCTGCAGACTTAAGTTGTGAAACTCGGTATAGCATGTATAAATGGCAGTAAATATATTATTGAAAGTAAAATTCATATTCTTAGCTAGATGTGTGTTTCTAAAGGATTACGGATCATTTTAAATAAGAGACAGTTCCTTTTTTTATTTTTATTTTTTTTCCTATAATTTCTCGTTATTAACCTGCTCATCCATATGCTTTCAGAATTCGAACGGACCCATTATCCCGATGTGTTTGCCAGAGAAAGATTAGCTGCCAAAATAGACTTGCCAGAAGCGAGGATACAGGTAACTGTTACTATGTAATTAAATATGATGTTTGACCCCAAGTGTAAACTGCATTTCATTTATTTCCAAGCAAACCAGTCATTTGGATATGAGACGCAGACCCTACAAACGTATATCTCTATTTATAGGAATCACAATGGGTGTCGGAAGAAAGGGGGAGGTGGATTCTTTTAGAAAACAGACCTTCGCACTATTCCGTTACTCCTCAACATGAATTTATGTATATGTGGCTTGGCGTGGAGAATAAACAGTGTGTGTGTGTATTGTTTCTCATAGGTATGGTTCTCTAATCGACGGGCAAAATGGCGAAGAGAGGAAAAACTGCGCAATCAGAGAAGACAAGCCAGTAACACGCCAAGTCATATTCCCATAAGCAGCAGTTTCAGCACCAGTGTCTATCAACCAATTCCGCAACCCACCACGCCAGGTGAGGGGTCCAGACTGTCCATACGACCAGTGTTAATGTGTAGAATCCTGTCTATGGCAATATTCTAAAAGGGAAACAATCACCACCGATACCAATGAGATGTTCCTGTTTATTGTTCTCTCTTTAGAATATTGTCCCAGAATTGAGCTTGACATATTTACTCCCAGTCTTCGTCTGAGACATTCCCTAAGCTCTGGATAGTTATCGTGTTTCCTTTGTTCTTTCCTGCAGTCTCCTCATTCACATCAGGCTCCATGCTGGGAAGAACAGACACAGCTCTGACAAACTCATACAGTGCTTTACCACCCATGCCCAGCTTCACAATGGCAAACAACCTGCCTATGCAAGTGAGTACACTAATAGCTGAAAAATCCCAGCTTAACCAGCATTTTACTTGTTTAATGTTATATATCGTGCATACGGATTATTGATTGTAGGTGTAATATAGCACAATGATTGAGTCCTTTAATGGCCATTTAATAAGATTTTAAATGAGGTCCAAGGAGGGACCAACATAGTTGACCTGTAATGCAAAATGAACCAGCACTAAATTATTAAAAAGTGTGGTGAGTGCTTCATATATTCTCATTGTTCTAAGTAACTTTTAAATGCACCAGATGATGTTGGTCCATAGGGGCAGGTGGGTAGCAACACCCAAGTTTTTACTGCAAAAATAAATAAATAAACAAACAACTATTTTGGCATTGTAAGAACAACTGATAAGTGAGTTAGAAAAACATGTTTGTCATGATTGTAACAGCTGTTTTTATCCCCCTCGTTATTAATAACTGGAGATGCAGCTGTTTTTAAAAGGACCTGGGATTCCATGAGGTTAAGTGGGTAAAACCCTAGAATTCGGGGTGGGGGAGCACCCGCTCATCTTTAAACGTCATCAACCACCACTGAGAAGCACTGAGGCATAACATGAAAGTAAAACGATAGCCATTCTCCTAGGAGTTATGCAAATAATTGTATTTGGGGATCAATGTTCCGTAGTTTTTCCAGTTGCATTTTCTCCATCTAAAAGGTCCTTCTAATGTTTATTAAATAATAAAATATATAATATAGCCAAAAAAATAAAAAAATATCAAGGAAATTGCACATTTTAAGCCAAATCGGGCAAACAGCTGTATATATATATATATATATATATATATATATATATATATATATATATATATATATATATATATATATATATATATATATATTTATTTATTTTACAATTTGGCAATTACTGGCTTAAATTTACAATTCCTTTGTCAACACATAAGAAATACAAGCTTAGTAAATAACCCCGCCAGTCTCAAAGCATGGTTTCATTGCTTGATTTTAGACCACACGGTTCACTTACTGAGCAAACTGTAGTGAAAGTGAAAACGGATTTGTAAGATTTGTGCTAAAATAGTGACGTTCTATTTGGTTAGAATTGGTAAGTGTTTTGCAGGACCGTGAGCAGATATTTCTACAAGGGCTCACTTTCTTGCAAATCTATCTATTTTATATATTTGGAGAAATAATTTTTGAAACTTTACTAAATACTCTCGTTGGAATCAATATGAATCACACCTCTGATGTGCAATGACCTGTTATGAGAGAGAGATGCACACTAACACAGTTTATTCTTTGTCACAATATGGGTTTTGATTTATCTTTAGCAGAAATCCTATCCTGTGCCGTGATCACAATTCTATTCAAAATTGACATATAGCAATGTATATTTGTGGTGTTAGCATCTATCAAGCCATTCATTCTGCTTGATAAAACAAACTGGAAGGTCAAGCTGTCCAGATTAAATTTCTTTCGACTAGAAAAAAAGCCCACAAGCCCACAAAACATTGGCAGTTTCATTCAGAACACAACGACAATATGTCAATTTTCCATAGAACACATTAACTGTATGCTGGTAGACAGAATATTTTCATTATATATCTATCTGCAATTTAATATCCATTCAATCATATCGTCCCCATGTACTAAGAGACTAATATAAGCACAACCATAAAACCCATGTGTGCGCACAAATAATTATTTTATTTAGATCTAAAACACTATAATCCTGAACATCGTGATTAAAGTGAACCGTATAGGAACAGGTTCAGTTAGCAATTTAACTTGCCCCATTCAGTGCATGTAGCACAACCAGCACATGTTGTGTTCAATTTCTTGCAACTTTATTACTAATGCAAACAAAGCACAAACTATTTATAATGATCGCCCTCTTTGCAAACGTTTTACAGCAGACACCGGCTAATTACATTTTCATTCAGGCTACTGATGCTTTGAGTGTTGTTGGGCTATTTTCTAGCTATGCACTCCAGAAATCAGTAGAATATACAGTATTTATAACTAGCTATTCTGTCACAATGCATCATTGGTTTCATTTTGTATTTTGTTGCCTTTATATTTTATTTTTATTTTTTTTAGCGCTAATACTTTTTAGAACAAGATGACAATTCTATTTAGAACAACGATGATTCAAGATTTTTCTTTACCCTTCCCACCCCTCCTAAAAAACCCAAACATTATAATTTACATCTCGGCATGGTTGGCATTATTATAAACCGAAGCTCCACCCACATCCCCACCACAAAATAAGATCCATTTCACTGTAGAAGTAGTGTCAGTGACACATACACACATTCACAACCTTTGGAACTGTGAGAGTGCGTGTAAATACAAAATATCAGTGCATTTATCACCCTCTGGCTTTCAAAGGGTTCCCAAACATGCGCACACAAGCACATCTCTCTTATATTAAGTCCCAGACGGGCAGATGTTGGATACAGGAGGTGCAGTGATTGTGTTTAATTCACAAATTTCACTGAGTAGTAATTTGAATTTTCTTTCTTCTTCCAGCCCCCTGTACCCAGCCAGGCATCCACCTATTCATGCATGCTACCCACAAGTCCATCTGTAAATGGGCGGAGCTATGATACATACACACCTCCCCACATGCAGACACACATGAACAGCCAGCCAATGGGTACATCTGGCACGAACTCTACAGGTAGGAATTAGTTTGTTTTACCCCCTTTGACACATCGCATACACAGCCACCTGTGAGTGGGTTTATCCACACATATCCACACACTACAGTGCCAATTTAATGTAGTGTTTGTTCTGCTACAACCCCCCAGCATCCAATATATAAAAAAAAAATTAATAAATATAAACACTTGAATGTCACACTTTCTACAGCATGAGATATAAACAGTCAGAGTTCTAACCACAAGACACCCAACGCTTCATGTCTCCATGACAAGAGCCATTGTGGCAGAGACGCTTACGTCAGCCTCAAAGAGCTTTGACCTCCAACCCAATTCTGTAGCTACAAATAACTGCGAATGGCACTGGAGACATTATTTTTCAGAGTGAGTTCCCAGGCAAAATGAATAACCGTTGTGTTTAGAACTCTGCAAATTAACCAATATATAAATTGTATCAATCTAATCATCTATGATGATCTAAATGATGACGAACCTGAGAGTGCATGATTTATACACTTAAAGCAAAAACAGACTTTTTCACAATATCAAGTAATAACGACTATTGTTTTTATCACAGGTCTCATTTCCCCTGGAGTGTCAGTCCCAGTACAAGTACCCGGCAGTGAGCCTGACATGTCTCAATACTGGCCAAGACTACAGTAAAAACCGTGTTAATTTAACCAATGACTTTATGGAAAATAATTGGATGTTCAGCAGTATTTTATAAACAAGGTTTGACTGGAAAATTACTTCTGCACAGTACCTGTGCCATGGTTCTCTTGGAGAGACTGAATCATCGACTTTTGCACATTGACGCCATTATATCAGTTGGAACAAATCTTCATTTTGATATCCAAACTTTTATCCATTTGATGTAATATTTGTAAATTGACATTTGTATGTTGAGATGAACAGAACAACATGGATGGATCTGATATGCATTGGTCATGCGAACATTTTTTTAGTGTATTTTTTTTTTTTTTTTTTAAGAAAGCCATGATCAAGCCACGAAAAATTTTAAAAATTTTATCAAGATATATCGACTACTGATTTTGTTTTTACATGGACCAATGCTCCACATTTGTATCAAACCCTTCGCATAGAGTGCAAAATGGAACTGTTGTCACGACACCCCTTCCCCCAAAGCTCCCTGTGGTTTCCCCAAAGGTTGATGTTATTTCCAAAAACAAAAAAAAAAGGTAAAAAGAAAAATTGACGAGAAAGATGTTTGGTAGATGAAAGGTAGATTGTGTCTTCGATATAATCCACTTTGTTTTATGTCGAAATGTACGTTTTTTTTTTTGTCTTCCCTAGAAATCTCCCAGAACGATTTCTATAATAAAGTTAATTTCATTTATATTTGACAACGATATTGTATAGATGTTTTATACACATTTCCATGCATCATGCGTTTTATTTTGTTGTTGTTTTTTTTTTTGATCAACAAATCATTTTACTGTTCCTAGATAGATTGTACAAAAATGTTCACAGTCCAATCATTCCTGTGCATTTAGAGCATTCCTTATACCAATTAAAAATGCTTGCAAGAGTTTTCAAGTTAAGTGTTTTTCAAGTTGTTCAATACTACATATCAATTTTAACCATTGTTGATTGTAAAAACCATACCAAAGCCTTTGTATCTCCTTTATTATATTATTTCATTTTAATCCTCTAACGTGGTGTTGCAAATTTTGTTACCAGTTTGGTATTAATTCAATTTTGTTTTAATTGTAATTTATTTTCTAAATAAATTAGGGAAACTGAAAGAGATCTTCTCAAACATTTTAAATGATCAATTCGATTAGTTTTGATTTATTTAAAAGTCTCGTAGACAGAAGCCATTGAGTAAAATTCTTTACTACGTCATGTTCATTGGTGCAGAGGTTTAGCACGTTCATTGGTGATCATGTATGCATGAAATCAAACAGAAGGCCCCGCTTATCGCTTAAGAGACCCTTACCTTCATATTCCTTGCTAAAGAATGGTGACAGCTGATTGGCTGTGAATACCGAATGGGTGGAGCAACGTCTGCATGGTGGCTGTACCATTATCAGTAGTCTGTTTGTTCGTATAAATATATATTTGTTGCTGTTGTTGTTGAATATGGGTGTTTGATTTATCTGGACAAGGTTTAGATTCATTTTTATTCTGGCACAAAAAGAAAAGAAAATGTAAAAAAAGTATTTAGGGTTTTACTCAACATGTTAAAAAAAAAAAAAAGGATGCTAAGTATTTGGATGTTATAACTAATTGGAATTCTGGGACAATTCTTTCATCAGTTGAATATAGTGTTGTATTGCTTAAACATAGTTTAATTATTATATCACTCAAGTAAGTATAGTACGGTTTGTGCAGAAGATGGTTTGGGAAAAAACTGTCAAAATGAAGATTTTCAGATCAGAGAGGTTTATTGGTTTGTGTGCTCTGCTAATCTTGTCTGAAAGGTCTAAGTATTTTACAAAACCACGTATAACAGCAGACATTTAGATGCAATAATTTATTATGACAACAAATATTTTGGAACAATACTACAAATCAACCTCATATACATGGAGACATTTACGCTATCACATTGTATGTTCCTTTCAACACCTCAATTGGACAACATTGTAACCTAGAGCGATATTTTAAGGTTCTATACACAACTTGACATTCCTTGTTCGAGGCTAGCTCTGTGTTTTTTTTTATTTTTTTTGCATCTTGTTTTTATTTAAGATGATTACAAACATACAAAAATTAGACATTGTGCTGTAGTAACAACAAAACAATTGTCTATATAGTTAAATAGCCTGGCTATACAATCGCTAATGGCAATGTATTTATTTTTTTAACTTTTCATTTTGCTTGTAAAGTTGCAGATAACGCACAAGAGAAACATCAAAAGAATAGCAATGACATAAAGCATAAAGCTAAAATAATGAGCACAGTACAGCACAGATAGTAACTACACGACTTGGTAATAAGATGGCTAGAATTAAAGTTGCATTTTAATGAACGCATACCATTTTTAAGGAGGCATTTACAGTGTTAATAAAATAATATTAGTGCAGGATTAAAACGAAAAAAACTAAACTAAAATAAAATCTTTTCTTGAAACCATAAATGCCTCTCAAATTTAGGGAGTTCTGTGTTTGTGTGTGTTGCCGGTCGCTAATTTTACGTTTTCCTGTTTTATCTCGGGTAAATGGATTGTTTGAATAACAAATTTATATAACCAGGCTAAGCCTGTTGTGACAGATTAGAGGATGCTCATTATAAAAACTGCCTTTCCAACACCTTGTTATGGAGATATTAATGGGTGTCATGGGAAACCACGTTTTCATGACAAAGGTTTCCATACAATCTTAAGTTGGTCTAAATGAAATCAATACATTTATTGTATCTTTTTTTTTTTTTTGGTTGAATCATGTGACACAGGTTGCAAGTCTGAAAAATGTATTACACACCCCATTCAAAAAAAAAAATGGACACAATGACTCTCAACATAGTTTAACAACTTATAGTCATACCTACCCTACACGCCGCGGCTTAGACACGCAGACTGCATTGTCGGGCCTACTAAGCACAAGAATGCACAAGTATGTACAGAACTACCAAAAAATGCATAGTTACCCAATAGCCATGCTTGGTCATGAAATGTTATTTTATTATGCGTGCCCCAGCTGTTGTGGTGTTGCACGCTCATTTGTTATATCAAACGCAACAAAAATAAAGATAAAAATAAAATAAAAAAATGGACAGCACAGATTTAAAATATATTGGTCAAGAAAATATACTTTTACTAAACAAAGCATAAAAATCCTTTGAACATGTTCCATAACCAGCTTGTCACGGATCTTATTATCTACCCGTGACTGGTTTTTACACACATGTAATTCATAGAGTCTCTTTATTTACGAGTGATTTGACATAAGAAGTTACAAAATGATCAACCAATCAGGAATAAAAGACTAAATGCATGCTGGGAATTAATAAGCTCTAAGTTTAGGTTGCAGAAAATTTAAAGGACACTTGTCACTGTACAAGACTATTAATATTCCTTTTCTTTATCCCCTACATTTAGCAAATATGTTTTGTGAGGTCTGAAAAATAAAATTTTAAATGGAAATCCACTTATCTATACTGGACCTAGGTGTCTCCATGTCGGCTCCTGTCAATCATCTTTTTAAATGTTGCCATTTTTCTGCCATTGAACATAGTGAGCGGAAGAGGAGAAGAAAACAAGGTTTTTCCACTCTCCTCCCCATTTGCATTGTATGCCAAGGCTGTGCCTGGATCAAACTGGATTGTGATGTTAATTGCTAAAATTTTGATATTCATTAAATAGAAATGCATGACACAAACAAGGTTAGCAGCAGTTCTAAGTGATTTTAAATATTTTATTTAAAGGTATAATTTCCAGAGTAGTAACAGTCCCGCTTTAAATTATAATGTAGAATAAAAAATATCACAAGTGGTGACCGTTTCAAAATAAAAACCAAAACCAAAACTTAATATAGGCAATATGATATGGTTCTGCCTATTAGAGGCTTTGTTTATGATTTCTCAATTTTAAATTATCTCAGTATTGCGTGGGATTTGTACCAGGCTGTGGAAATATTGTAAAGGCATCGAAGAAATCTTAAACAATTCCTAAAGTGTGATTCATAGTCAGGGCAGGCCATCTACTATTTTCATTACAATGTATACTGTTTTTTTTCCTTTTAATATGAATGGTTTTTCTATCCCTAAATCTATTTCACATCTAAACATTCTGTATTTTGATGTCAATCTAGTTCATAGACGCTATATACAGTATATACGCATACACACATATAACACTGGGAAAACACATTGCAAGTGTTCTAGGCTGCTATATAATACATGAAACTACATAAGAGTTGGTTTCTAGGGATAGCATGCACAAACTATTACAGAGAATAATAAGTCATGCACAGAGACAATAAATAAAATATTATAGTAGCTATATTTCATGGATGATTGAATATTTAAGGGAAAAGTGATTTGGATCACTGATCACTTTGTTTAAGGTCACACCAAAATATTACTAGTGAAGTTACACAATGCAGATTTTGAAAAGAACACTCCAAGCACTATAAACAAACACTACGTCATCATGTAGTGGTTATGGTGCCAGGAGTGCCCCGGTACTCCTTCATTGGAAGTAGTAACTTCTTACCTGTGGTTTGGCTGCTACTGCCTGTCTCCACTACACCTACAGGAAAGCCCGAAGCTCCTGCTTTGGAACATCTGTCAGCTCTTCTTCTGAGCTAAGTCCTGCTGTGTATGCCCAGCTCATTGGCTGAGCGTGTCAGTATTAACAATATTGACAATTTGGGTTTTTTTCTGAATATTTCTTTCTATAGTAGCCTAAATCTTTATCCTTCCAGGACCAATGACATGTCAATTCTGTCATGACAATGAAGGATTTGTGTTTAATCTCTGAAGTTTATTAATGTTAAAGGGACACTATAGTCACCAGAACAACGACAGCTTATTGAATTTGTTCTGGTGAGTAGAATCATTACATTCAGGCTTTTTGCTGTAAACACTGTCTTTTCAGAGAAAATGCAGTCTTTACATTACAGCCTAGGGATACCTTCACTGGCCACTCCTCAGATAGCTGTTAGAGATCCTTCCTGGGTCATGGCTGCCTAAAATGC